ATCGGTCACCTCAGGACTGGTGGCCACCTGAACACTGGCTTGGGTTTGGTGTGGTACCAATGCCAGAAGCCCTGGAGACTGCTGGAGAGAAGAGGGATATGTGGACAAGCCTGGGTCCAGCAGGACTAAGATGGAGAAGAAGCTAGCAAGCCTCTCACTGCCTAAACTGCATGTGTATGGAGCTGGGTTCCCTAGAGTGCCCCATAGTGTTTGTGTGAGCTGGTTTTGCTTCTTTTACTCAGCCTAGCTGATGAACACCTCATTACTGTGAATAATGGTGATGTGACCGTACGGATATGCCTGAAGCTGGTCATACATGAGGTGCTCTGGTGAAGGATACATTTTGCAGTCGGGTTTAGGTGAATCAGGTGCATCTCTGATTCTTCTCTTGTTCTTCAGAAAATTGCTGTTCAAAGGCTTTGCAAATGGCCATTTCATTCTCCAGGGTGCTTTCTGTTCGGTGCAGTAGTATACTATCTCTAATTAAAACACCGGCCAACTGTTTAGTGGTTTCTTATGTGTTTGTGTTTACTGTTAACTTGTGGTGAATGTCTCTACTTCATTTGAAGAAATATTTTTTTTCACTTGCATTTAGAGTAACATTCAACTCTCAGAATATTCCACAGAAAAATAGTGCGAGGCCTGCACACATGCTTCTTCTCCTTCCCAGTTCCATACACATTTCCCCATTAACTCCACGTCTGCTATTTCAAAAGTTTTGGTGCAAAGTAGCCAAAAACCAGTTAACGGAAAGCAGTTAACTGAATTGAAAGATCCCTTCGTGTTGGGTTTCTTGGACCATGGTGTGTGCGTATGTTTTATCTGGTGTGCATGCTGCTTTGAAGTGACATGTCAAATGGGGAGTGAACACTCCAATGGCATTACCTGCTGCAGCCCCCAGTGCCGCTGCTGCGGTTGTAGCCATTCTGATCGCTGCTGGTGCACACAGCAAAAGGAGAAAAAGAAAAGAGCACTGGTGTAGCACACTGCTCGTCTTTTATTCAGGAAGCCATATAAATGTATTTTAAATTCAAATCTGCTGGAACTGAGCCACATATATATATATATATATATATATATATATATATATATATATATATATGTGAGAACAGTAGTGTACAATAATCCACTCTCTACCCACTTTTCTACAACAGATTCCGCAGGGCTCAGCTTCTGAAAAAAAAAAAAAAA